GGAACTTTGGGCCTTAGCAATGATTACAGTGGACAAAGGTGGTAGGCCCTTGCCTAGTCTGAGGGGGTCTGGAGTTCCTCTTTTCAGCCTTCTAATGGCCCACACAGGCCCTAAGACATGCTTGCTTGCCTGCAAAAAGTCTAATTCCATTTTTTAAAATGCAAGCTTTTAACGGGGGTTAATGGTGGCTGAGGGGGCCAATACCTTCAAGCTGGAGAATCACCAGTGACCACTGAAAGTATCAGCTTTAGCTAGCTCATGATCAGGACTTTCAGCTCTCCAGCCTCAATTTTCCACTCTTAATAGATGTACAAAAAGAGAGTTTGAGTTCCAAGGTTTCTGTTTTGTCTGTGCTACCACAGAATCTGGACTTGGATTCCAGCAAATCTGGACCTTGTAACACTTGCCTGATAGATTATAAGTGGTGAATCACCCCCATTTTTCACTCTCTTAGCCTGAGAACATGACAGCACAGTCTTAAAATTCTGTGAGCACAGATGTCAGGATTCTGTGTTAGTCAGCACCATGCCCCAAAACTCAGCTTTGTGGGTCCCTGTGCAGGGAGATGTATCCAGTGACACTGTGCTGAGGGTGTCTCTCAGTGATGCAGCCAGCTTCCAGACAACATGGTGAGTCTGCATAGTGTGGAGCTTGGAAATGATTGGCAAAGATGGGCATTAATCAGATAACCATATAAATGGAAGTATAATTCAATTCTAAACTCAAATAAGAATTATGTCATGGTTAAAGTGTTTGCTTAGTATGTGCAAGACCTTGGCTTTAATTCCCAGCCACACACACACACACACACACACACACACACACACACACACTATTCAAAGGAGGAATTTGGCTTCCAGGAGCTGATACAATAGAGTCAGTTTCTGCTCTTATAGCAGGTATTCCTGGGACACTGAGGAGGAGGGACTAGGGTGGTGTGGAGGCTTCTCTGTGTGTTGTTATTCAAATTAGCCTTTCTTTAGTCATTTTGTGCAGGCAGTGATTTTTCTTCTTCTATTTTGATGAAAGCATCATTTGCATAAGGTAAAATCCACCCTTTCCAGGTGTTCTGTCCTATTGGTGTTCTGCACTGTTGATGTGCAGTCACAATTCTGAAGTTGACACCCCAATCAAGAGAGACATGGTTTCCATCCTCATGGCTTTCTCTGTGATCTGTAATCTACAGAGGTGGATCACAGGGAAAACAAGAAGCATGCAACGAGGCTCTCCCTAAATCTTTGGATGCTACCCCCATTATGCCAGCCCTGGGTTCCTCCTACTCACAGGGAGAACTCAGCCCAGAGACCCAGGCAGCTGCAGCTTGCCCTTCAGTCCCAAACCTGTCAGAAGTATCCTGCACTTCAGAAGCTTCTTGAACAAACAGGGACAGTTATGAATTCCCTATGGACCTTACAACCTTTGGAACACTGGAGGAGGAATGTGGCTTCCTTTCAGGCCAGGAACCTATGCTCCCTTCCTGGAAGAACAGTGGGGGTATTCCTCTAGACTCTGCCTAAGCTGCAGTCTGCCACTGCCTGATAACTGATCACCTGAAGACAGCCTGTGCTAGGTTTGTGTCACTCCATCATAGCTTCTTATTTAAGTTGGTTTCCTGTGCTTTCAAAAGCCAGGAAAGCAGAGTCTCACTCTAGCCCATCTGATCAGACTTCAGTTTCTTTTGCTGCTGTCGGTGTTGGATTTCTGCAGAACCACCTTTAAGGGGTAGAGTGAAAACACAGATGGCAGTTAAAAATCTGCAAAGAATCCCTGGTGTTTGTGTTTGTGGGTTCTACCTGCATACTACTATTTCAACTTGCAACAGAGGGTAGAACAAAGAGTAAGGTCAAATTAGCATGTGAAAGAAGCTAGTTGGCGGAAAGGAGGACTATTATTAACCCCTTCCCACCAAAGCTGAGGTGTAACAAACAGAGCCTGTGCAATATACAAAAAGGGGAGAGGGGCTTCTATAAAGGTTCCTTCCAACTCTGAGACTGGACATGAGTACCATTGAGCTATGACCTTTCTCCCAGCCCTGGCTCACTTCCTCCCCTGGAAGTGGTGTCTTCCTTAATAAACTTGTTCTGCTTCTACCACTGTCTGAGTGTCCCTGTCAAGTTTCTGATTCTGAGACACGAGAACCTGAAAGCCCCAGTGGATGCTCACTGGGTTCCTGTAGCTTCTAATAACATCAAAGAATGTCTTAAAGTGGAAAGGCAGGGGCTACTGTTATGAGAATGATAGTGCCTGGGTCTGTGGAAGGTGAGGCCTTGTTCTCAAGGTAACTAAAACCCAAGCAGAGCAACAGAGGTAGAAGAATGAGGATGGCCAATGCAAAGCTCCTCTCTCTCTCTCTTTCTCGCTCTCTCCCTCTCCCTCCCTCCTTCCCCCATCCCTGAACAAGCTCACCCTGCTCCATCAGCCAAGCATTTTTTTGCAATTGAGGCTCCGGAGGCCAAGGTCATGCCAGTGAGATGAGGCCTCCAAAGATGGTGCAGACAAGTGGCAGGGCTCTGCCACCATCCTGTATCACAGCAGATTCCTTGCAGACAGAGGTTTAAAGACAGACACCCTAGCCTATATCTGAGGGGCACAATTATTACAAGGCCAGATTTGAATCCTGGTGCTTTCCCCTGGATCCCTGCAGCCCTCTGCTCTCTGCCCACCCTACCCCAATTTCAAGTAGGCCTGACTTGAGGGAATACATTCCATGGGCTCTTTTGTGTTTTGCAATCATACTTTCAAAACAGGGTGCAAAGGAGTTGAATCCTGTTAGAATATGATGTCAAAACAATATTCAGTTTTTCATGAGTGAAGAAATCAACTGTTTGCTTATGTCTGAAACTGCTGACCAAGAGAAAAAGGAGGAAGAGTCCACTTGAAGCAAAAAGGTGGTGCTGAGCCAAGCATTTACTCTGGAAAAGAAAAAAAAAAAGCAGATCTGGGTGTGGCCTGTGTCATTCTATGAAAGTCAGGCAAAGGTCAGAAGATGCTGCTGGGTACCACCCTCTCAGAGCCTAACCACCATGATGTGTTTTGTGTTCTTTGTAAATTCAGGTTTTTTTGATATTACAGTATTGCTACTGGTTAGCCCAAGAACACAAGTAGCATTAGTGATCCTGGCCTTGTAGACATCATAGCCATCATTGCTCCCAAAGTCACCCACACAGGAGGCCAGAACCTCCTGGACTGAACTGGACTAGAACCAGTTTCACCTTCAGTCATCTGAGAGCATTTTCTCTCCTCTCTGTGATGTCACAGGAGTGGCAGAGGTCTCTGTGCCCCTCCACTTTGATGAGTTTAGAAGTAGAAAGTAAGCTAGAGCTCTTGAAGCTTGGATTTCCCAGATACTATACGGTCACTCTCTCCTGGCAAGCAACCACCTCTTTAAACTGTAACTATATATATATATATATATATATATATATATATATACTTATATCCATGGTGTTCCCCATTCCAATGTAAACTTTTCTTTATCCGTGTATCTATTAACCCAATGGCTCACAGCCTCACAGTTATTAGGCATGTACTATGATATGAGCTGGACACTACTTGCTCATCTTTTATACTTCATGCAGCCATATCAAGGTAGCACTTCTTGATCCCATTTTCAAACATTGAAGGGTGCCTGTAGTAATGTAAACACAAATATCAGGCTGGGTTCAAATCAAGGTGTCTGTGATAGTCCCATACCATATTGGCTCTGCTGGCTGCTTGCAGGACAAACTGCATGTTTCTCTTTTTAGGGACTTACAAACAGTCTAGAAGCTTCTATTCTCTTTCTGAACAATTTCCAATCTCAACATGTTCTGGATTAAACACCCCAGAGTGTCCTGCAGCACTAAGGGTGTTCCCCTTCCTCTGGACTCCTGGCATCTTCCATCTGTACCTGTTTGGGCTCTCCTCAATTCTCAGATCACTGGGATTCATGATGAAATTGCCACCTGTGGGGTCACAGTAAAGTGCTTTGTTGCACAAGTGCAAGGACCTGAGTTACGATTCCCCCAAACTCACATAAAATCCTGGCATGGTGGTATTCACCTACAACCCAGTCCTAGAGAGTAAGAGATCCTGAGGGACCCATCTTCCTGAAGACAATGAGATTCAGATTCAATAACAGGCTGTCTCAAGTAAAAATACATAAATAAAATAAGGTGGGAAACAATTTAGGAAGACATCTCGATGTTGACTTCTGATCTTCACAAGTACCTACAGGGTTGAATACATATGCACCCAGCCTTACCCCCAACACACACACACACACACACACACACACACACACACACACACACACACACACACACCACACACACACAGCCTTCCCACAGTAACAGCCCAGGTCTACACCAAGAATCTCTGCCCTACCTGGATGTCTAAAATTATCTGAATGTCTTACTTAATTGTTTTTTTCTCATGTTTGCCTCATGGAAATTTTCCTATTCCTACATGTAAAAATCAGAGAGTTATGCCTTTCCACCAAAAGGGCCCTAAAGATCAGTATCACAAAGACAGTAATGCCTGTCATTACCAAGATAGATGAGAATTGTTTTATAATAAATAAATGACCTTGGCACTCAGAAACAATTTATGAATTCGAGCCATAGCTCCCTCATGATAATCTTGAGTTTTACATCTCAGAGAAAAGAAAAGGCAATGTTGAAGGAAGCACACAGAAAAACACTCAGCTGGGAAGCTAAAGATGCTTCAGATCTTAGAATGTCTAAAAACACAGACATGAGGCATCCTGTATAAAGTTGTTACAATTACACAAATAAAAAATAAATATCTGAATGTACAGAGATAACATGAACTCCTCCTACATGTAAAATAACTCCCTTTTGGAAGATACTTAAAGTCAGAAATTGTGCCGTGAGCAGGTGATAGGGCACAGGCCAGCCTTTAATGCATCTCCTAGAGTTTGCTTTGTTTTTGTACATAAAATATGTCATAAAAATGAGGGAAGTGGGGGAGAGAAAGGAAGGACAAGAGACACCCAATAGTTCATTGTAATCTGTTTATTTTGTACATATGACATCATAAGCAAAGGCTTTGCCTGTGTTCCAGCTAAACTCCAATAAATAACTATATACAAATATGCTGAGCTTACAAAACAGTAAAGAAAAACCTTTCCTTATAAAAGATACACATATGATACATCTGATCCTTACACTGACATATAAGTTCATTCTTAGCTTAGTTAAACCAAAACCCTTCTGACCCTGTGTGGCAATATCTAGAGATGTGTACCTAGTCATTTTTTTTTTTTTTTTTTTTTTTTAGCCAGAAAGCAAAGCTACGCAGTGAAAAATTCCTCAGTTTCTTGATACTAATTGGCCTAACATGGCCTGCTACTTATTATTAACTGACATTTATTGTCCTCCAGAAAGTTGGAAACTTGTTAAAATGCAGCTTCTTGTGAAGGGGGTGGGGTGGTACACTTACGATTTTGCAATTCTAGCCAGATCCCAAGAGAGGTCCCAATTCTTGTGTACAGGCCCGTGGCCAGGGCTAGAAGGTCCCTCTGAAGTAGAAGATATTGTCCAAGAGCTCATTAAGACAAGACCCTAACCAGGCACCCTCCAGGCCCATTCTCAAGTTCCCACATCTCCCAAAGCAGCACACTGCTTTTATTTGGGACTATAAGTGGCAAAGAGCAGTTGAAAGTCAGCTAGGCACAAAGCATACAACTCAAAACTGCTGGAAGATGCTTCCATCTGTCAGTCTCAGATATGTCCAGCCTAAGGACCACATACATCCCAGGATAGTTATGTGGCCCAATACATCTGAAGATGGCAATGTCCTATTGCAACAACAAAACATAGGACTAAGACTCATCCAAACATTTTCAACACTGTCAAAAATTAGTAACACTATAGGAACCTGTATAAAAAGCTTAAAAATAATTACTGTTTTGTCATTCTAAATCAAAACAACAGCAACAATAACAAAAATACCCAGACTCGTTCTTTCAACAATAAAGATGAGAAAAACAACAACAACAACAAAACCCCCAATCTCCTTGAGTTTAGTTTCTGTGACATTCCAGCATTATCAACTAGTGTTCAGCTGTAACATTTTAACTTTCATTAAAATTATTTTGCTCTGGAAACCTGAATTTTCCAAGTAAATTGCCAAAGCCAGTGAAAAAGACAACTTTTGCTTGTAGTGTTTTTTCTTTTCTGTTTCACATAAGAGTTTTGTCTGGAGAGGAGGGTGAAAGCAAAGTAAGATGAGGTTTGGAAGGAGAAAAGTGAGAAGGGGGTGTGAAGGGGAGGGGAAGAAATGGAGGGACACAGAGAAAGAAAGGACAAGGGGACTGGAGACGTAGAGGCAGGGAAAAACCGAAGGGAAGAAAATGCTAAATACTTAAAAAAATAAATATCTGGGTCATCTCTAGCCTGTGTGGTCAAGGTTTGCCTAAAGGCTAAAGATCAGCAGCGCCTATACATCCTGGACCCTGAGGTGAGGGCCTGGGACGCTCTGCAGTCTGATCTTCACTGTGTATTTGTCACCCCCACCCAGGTGTCCCGTATCCACTTGGAAGAAGCTGGGCTCTCCTGCTTCAAGTCCTCCTCACCCCTGCTTCTCACGAGGATGGGGCAGGGTCCTCTCCGGTTATCAGTTTTTGTGTCAGCCAGGAGGCTTTTAAGTTGCCAGAGAGCACAGCTGGGAGGCCAGAGATAGAGAGAAGAGGTACTGAACCAGGAAAGACAAAGGCACCCTGGGGTCTCTGGAGCAAAGTCCCTCAGAACTTGTGCAGCGTCCGATCAGTCCTTACATGCTGCAGTACGACCTCCTTGGCTGGTGATGCACACTTGTACTCTAGCTCTGCACGTGCGGCTCCCTGCTTCTTGCGCAGGTGACATAGAAGCGCCAAAAGCGCCACCACCAGGGACAGGCTGGCGATGGAGATGCCAATGAGAACGCCAGAATGCACTGGCTTTGCTGAGGGCGGACCTGTGGGAGAGCCTGGTGTTGGACTGACTGGGGGCTCCCCAGAGCCATGGTCCTCGTTGTATTCAATAACAGGGGTGGGATCACAGTCCTTGCTAACCTGGCCAGCAAGAGCTGTGTCAGGCCCACAGATGCACTCATAGGAGCCGGGAAGATTTCGACACTCATTGCGGGAGCATTCCTCTTGACTGCACTCGTCAATGTCCACGCATATGTGACCTTCGTCCAGAATAAAGCCCTCAGGGCAATGGCAAAAATCAGGAGTGTTAGGGTCACAGTCAGCCGGGCATGAACTTTCATTGCAGAACATTTCACACCTGTGCGGTTCCCCGGGTTTGGGTGCGAAGCCCTCAGCACAGATGCAAATGTACTCTGTGGGACTCACTGGCTGGCACTGATATTCGCAGTCAGATCCGTAGCACGGATCCAGGAGCTCCACGCACTCTCCATCCACCAACTCAAAGCCATCATAGCAGAGACATTCAAAGCCGCCCTTGGTGTTGACACAGCGCTGCGGGCATGGATTGGGCCCCTGCCTACAGTCGTCCACATCCTCGCACCGGTGTTTGTCAGCTGCCAACTGGTAGCCAGTCTCGCACATACAGGTGTACGAGCCTGGGTCGTCCGGGTTGGCGACGCAAAAATGCTCGCAAAGGTCAGTGCACGAGGGCACCTCCGGTTTTATGCATGAGCGACCATCAGCCTGCAGGACGGTGTCTGTGGGGCAGAGGCATCTGGGCTCGCCCATGCTGTGGTTGCACGAGTACTCGCAGCCACCTTTTTCCACGCTGCAGTTCCAGGCTCCAGGCGCTTCCCGAGACCAGTGTCCCTCCGAAATTCCAAGCTGGGCTCTACACACTAGCTCCAAACCGAGGGACTCCACAATAGCCGAGCTGCCTATTGGCAGAGTCTGAAAGTCCGCACCACGGACGCCGAATGGTGTGTTGTAGGTGATGGAGAGGTGGGCAGCCTCGGGACCTGGGGGATCCACCTCCAAAGGCCTGCAGGACGTTGTGAAGTGGAACTCACAGAGGAAGCTGTCGGCTTCAGTCTCACACTGCTGCTCCTCCCAGGCCGGCTCACCCGGTGCTGCTGCTATTGCTGTTGAGACCGTGACGCACAGCGGGCCACAGAGTGGAGACTCCTGGTCTTTGGGCCGCGCCCACCTGCTGTAACTGGTGTGGTTGTCGCCTGTAACCCATTGGAAGCCGCGCAAAGGCCCGGAATGCCCCGGGTCGCCGCAGCCCTCCGGGAGCTGTAAACCGATCCAGGGGCGTGAGTTCATACTACTGTCGTCGCTCAGCAAAAGGGAGATGACATCGGCAGCCACTGAGGAGCGCACTGTCATTAGATGTCCGTTCAGGCTTTCGCAGGCAAGGCTGGCAGCGAGGAAGTTCATGGGGCCCTGGAAAAGCGCGAAGCACTCGTATTCCACGCACTGACTGCCTCTGGACTGCAACTTGGTTAGTGCGGAGATCCCCAGGCCAGCTGGAGCCAACAAACCCAGAAGAAGAACCCCAAGCATGCTGTCCAGGGGTTCGCGTGCAAGCTCCCGGGAAAATGCTAGCCAAGAGACGGTGCAGGCACCCAGCACCGGCAAGGGAATTTCGGACGCCTCAGGCGACAACAGCTAGCCCCTGTGGTAGCCTAGACGTTTCTAGCCCAGGCTCGTAGTACCGGCGAGTCAGCCTCTGACATGCTACTCCGCTGCGGCTCCAGTTTATAAATGCGCGGCCCTCCCTCTCTGGACGTTCGGGAAAAGGAAGGAAGTGCTTGGTGGGAAGGGCTGATGCTGCATTCTCGGATTACTGGGTTCTCCGGACGCCTTGCGCCCGCCCTCCAGCCTGGGATCACCTCTGCATGATGAGTAAAAACTCGGCCAGGGCGCACGGAGGTCCTCGGGCGGGGCCCGAAGGCGCCAGCAAAGAACAGAACCAAGTCAGCAAGAAGACAGTTCCCGCCCTAGACACTCTGGGGTAGCCTGCGAGTAGCCTGTAGCCTGTCTTTAAACACCCCCCCCCCACACACACACACACACTTACCTTCCCCATGAATGCTTTCAGACTTTGTAGGATGGTCTCGTTGGTGGGCTCTAGGAAGAAGAAACTTAGAGTCGGGTAGAGAGTGTGTCTAAAACCTGCAGGACACTGGGAGGGATTAGCAAACAAGATCAAGAGGAGAGGACAAGGATTAATCCCTTGGAGGACTAGCTGGACCCAAGACCAGGGACCAGGGAGCCTGGGTGGGGCCACAAACAGAGGGCTAGATCCCAAAGCACTTTAGACGGGGTTAGGGAAACAACGCCAGTAGCAAGAGTACTGGCCTAATAATCTCAGACCCCCTCCGCTCCTCTTCTCCACTCTGACGACTGGCCGGCTATCGCCAGTTCCTGGGCAGGTTATCTTTAAGGAAAGGCCCTGTCTGGTTGCGTGAGAAAGTCGTGCGAGTGCTGTATAGGCTCAGAGATCCTGGCCCTCTACTCGAGTATTATTCCTACAAAACACCGTGGGGGAAAAGTGTGTTTCATTCCTTTGTTCTGATGTTTTGTTTTGTTTTATTTACCCCAAGCCCTTCCCGAGCCCCTCAACGAAACTGGTTGGGAGCCACCGCAAGGAGGCGATGTGAGCTACAATGGAGTCCACTTGTTTTCTTTTGAGGTGATGATTTTCTGGAGAGGCTCAAAAGATAGCGGTCCCTGCATATTCCATTTGCTCACAAAATGCATTCAAGAGGAGGGGTCCTGTGGGCAGGATGCCAGCCAGCCGCTGGGAGGTGTGGATGGGAGTCTGTCACTTAGAACTTTTATCTGTTTAAGCACTCATCAAGAATGTGGAGTTCTGGGTCAAAATCAAAGTGCTTTCTCGCGCGCGCGCGCCCGCGGGAGCGCACACACACACACACACACACACACACACACACACACACACACACACACGCACACACGCACACACACGCACACACTCCTACACTCTACGGCCGTCACTTCCACCCCACTGCCAGAAGACGGCGCTGTTGAACTCTAGACCAATCCAAGGATAATGGAGCATTACAACAACTGCCAAGGAGAAGAGTGTGGGCTGCCTGGGGCCTAGCCTAAGGTTAGAAAGCACAGTTTTGGGAAGCCCAGAATAGTCTTCCCTGCTTACATGTATGAATCTAGCTTTGCTGGTGCAGTAGAGCTCGGGCTGTGGTGTACTCATGAGAGGAAAAACATGTACAGATGGACACGTGACCAAGAGGGTAGGGAGAGAGCACCAAGATTGTGAAAGGAAGCAGGTGGGACATCCTCCATCTACTTGCCCACATGGAGCTCTGCCAAGACAGAGCTGGGACCTATAGAGGCCACCATCCCGTTGGAGTAACTTTTCTTTTTTGGGTCAAAGCTTCCCCGACTCTGAGTCTTGAAAACTCCAGAGCTGAGAGTGGATGCCAAGCTTTTAAGCTCTGGGAATGAGCACAGCTACATGGGTTCTGGGAAAAAGGAAGGAACAGCCAGGGATTGGACAATAAGATGGTCTCTGGAGAAGGAGGCGAACTTTTGATGTGAGATGGGACCTCAAGGGGCATTATCCCAAAGACTAGGTAGAAGACAACAGGGGATACCCCACCTGCACGGTCTAAAGAGTGTGAACTGGGGACCTCGTTCAAGCTCTAGTAATTCAGTATTGTGACAGCACAGGGTTAAAGGATGGTTACCCTCCTCAACAGGGACTTCTGAACAAGCCAGTTGCCGTAGTTAAGGCTTTTATTGCTGTGATAAAACACTATGACCAAAAGCAACTTGGGGAGGAAAGGGTTTACTTTTATCTTACAGCTTACAGTCTATCATTCAGAGGAGTTAGGGCAGGAACCTAAAAGCAAGAATTGATGCAGAGGCCACAGATGAAAGTTGCTTACTGGCTTGCTCCTCATGGTTTGCTCACTTTGCTTCTTATCTCACCCCTGAGCACCAGCCCACGGACAGCACTGCCCACAAAGAGATGGGCCCTCCCACATCAGTCATCAATCAAGGCCAATCTAGTGGGGGAATTTTCTCAACTGAGGTTCCCTCTTCCTAAATGACTCCAGCTTGTGCCACATTGGCACAGAACTAGCCAATGCACCAGCCCTGAATATGATCAAAAGCAGCTGCTTAGGGTCTTGGAGGGGTTTTAGCTGATTCACCGCCATCTTTGGGGAATGTTGTATGACTAAGCTTTTCCTGGGGAGATGCAACACACATGTCTACTCACCCTAGGTAGGGAACCTATGACAAACCAAAGTACAGATACCAACAAAGTCCGACTTGGTGATCCAATGTGTTTTATTAGGTGTAGGAGAAACAGTGGCCAGCCTACCCAAGCCACAGTCGCCCTGCCCCCCAGTGTCCTGGCCAGCATGCATGAGTATTCACAGCAGGCACTTCCTTCCTGAGCCAAGCCTGCCTCTATGCACAGAGACTGCTGACAGAGACACACGTGACCTGGAGACACCAATAAGGAAAGGACAATGGCGGTCTGCAGTAGGCTCTGCTACTCACTGACTCGCAGTGCCTCAGTCATTGATGCTGCATCTTCTCACCCCTTCCCCAAGGGGTGACCAGGCAGGATAACCTGCAACAATTGGGGTTACTTGCTGGAATATGGTTGAGGAGTTATTTAGAAGTGACTCAAAGTCAACTGCACCACCAAAGCCCACCTCAGAATATGAGACAGCTCACAAAGCTGTGAACCTGGAGCACAGTGCACAGCCTGCAGACAGCTCAACAGTTTAGAGAGTTTCCTCTCCAGGCACTTCAGTTGCACTCAACCTCTTCCAGGCCGCTGACTTGATCTCAGAGTCTTCTTTGCATCATGGGTCAACTCTTCTGAGAGAGATTCCTGCTTATTCTGACAGGAAGGGGCCTAGTAAATTTGGTCAGTTTTAGGGACTTCCTGAAGTTATTTTGAGTTGCTTACTTTCCCTGCAGAATGGAATGTTTTAGTCTCAGAGGAAACTGTTAACAACAGTGGGGAGTCTTACACAAAGTGTAACCCCACTACTGAAAAATACTGGGAGTTCTACACAGAGAACTCAGTGAGGGCAAGAGTTGTCCAGCTACATATAAAGAGGTGCTGATCCTTCCATGTTAGAAACAGTAACAAGAGCAACAACGTGTGGTGCTGTGGGTGCCAGCAGGTTCTATGACATCCTGCAGAAGACAGATGGATATGGTATTGAGCTCTCCTACCTATCATCCTCTACCTCAGCCCTAAGCACACACTCCATTACCTTCTGAGGTTACCCCTCTGACACTGCAGCTTTCCCCTCCAGCCACCACAGTGCTGACAGGTCTTCTGCATGCTTTAAACTTCCTCCTGTTGAATTAAGGTCTCCAGGCCTCTGTTCTTGGTGGTCCCCAGCTTCCTATCTGTATTTCCTCCTCATCTCTGTGTATGCCACATCCACCTCCCTCTCCCTGGCCTGTTACTCACTCTGCCAACTCCAATGGTACACCAACGAAGACATTTTACTGCTGAGACCGTCTCCTTAAAGGCCACCCTGTCCCACATACTGACTCAAGAGCCAGGTTTCAGTCTTTTCCCTTCCAGATATCCCTGAGTCATTTGCACTCTTGACCCTTTTTCCATTTTCAAGGCTTCTTCAGTGATTCTGCCCTCCTATGAGTAACTTCTCTGATCTTCCGGCTGGGCTCACCAAGGTTACCACTTCATAAGGTTCTTCTTGGAGTCATCATCTAACTCTGAACTTCTCATTCTCTGATGAACTTACCCATTCTCCCATCAGGAGGGAATATCCCAGAAGAGTCCTCCAACTCAGCTTTGTTGTGTGTCAGTATTTGAGCTACCCAGTTTGGAACCACCTTTTCAGATGCTGTCTTCGTCAGTTTCTTTCTTGTCCCCTCCATTCTCAAGCATCAGTGCTCCTGACATAATAATGGATATTGAGGCAGTTGGGTTCCTGACTCTGTTCCTGGCTTCTAATCCCTCCTCCTTCTCTGCTGCTGCCCATGCCGCTTGGATCCTTTCTTATACCCCCTCAGTGTTACTCACCATAGACTTAGAGAAGCCTAAGCTGCTTCTGCTCCCTTCCTCACTGAAGGTTCTTATCACTTGGCCTCTATTCCAATGTCACAAATAAGGAGGTTTGCATTTAAGAATGCTGGCATGAGATTTGGAGGCAGAATCTGCACTTCACCTATTCACACAGCTTCAGTGACCAATGGATGCTAAAAGTCCTGGCAGGAGAAGCTTCTAACCAATGTCAGAGAAATGCCACATCCATCTCTCTTTCAGTCTCTGACTCCCATCTCTTCCTCGGCCAGGAAAATCCACCTCTCCATCTCTATCTGCAAATCTTCCCTTCTAAGTCCCCATTGGCAAGTTGCCTCATCAACAAGTGTTTCTGAGTAACGGAAGCAGAGCTGATCTCTCTGTGAACTCCCTACACATCTTTCCGCTTTTTGCTCCTTCCCAGCTCGATAAATCACCCGTGGATCCACCTTTTGCTGCCCTTTACAGTCTGGCTTCCTGGGGAGAGTCATGGCTCTCGTACCTCTTTGTATCTCTCACACCTAATATCATGGTTTGTGCAGAGTCAGCACCCAGGAGTGACTGAGCGTCTGCGCGTTTAGTAGTGATGCATGTGCAATTCTCTGAGCTTCTCTGGGTGATTTCTTCAAAGTAACCTGCAAAGGCAAATATGGAGGACCTCGGAGCCTTCGGGGTAATTTAGAACTCAGGTTAGAGCTAACTTGTCTGGACTTGAGTCCCACCCCTACCATTTACAAGATTTTTCTTTTTTAATTTTAAGACTTTGAAATTAGCCTTGCATTTCTTTGGCCTCTCTATGGCCC